TTCTGTGGTAGATTATGAGAGCAGTTTTTTTTGTCTTGTAAGTTTGCATGGCTTAATTAAGTGTCCTGAAATATTAATTACATTTAAAGTAGGATGTACAAAATATCCGGTCTTTTCACTGTTATTTAACATTCAACTTCTGACGTTTGGTAAGCATTTTGATATTTTCGTCATACCCAGCGTACTAATGTAACGAGTAGGTTATGTCGAAGCAAAGTTTCAGTTTTAAAACAGATTTTTCGTGGTATTTCGAGTTTATAGTTAAGTGAAATTGTAATGTGCAAATGGTACTTGTAGGCGTGTGAGGCCACCGGTATAATGGGGAGTGTACTTCACCAATAACTATCGATTTTCGACATGGCGCCTTTATAAACTCGGTTGTTTGTTTCAGACAGCGAAAGGTACGTACTGAAAACCACTTCTGGTTTTGTGATCTTGTGAGTACTGGTTTCAACGTAATACCAATTTGAATTTGATGAAAATTATAACGTTGATAGTTGTGGAGTAGGAACCTGAAATTTCTTACCATTTGCTGCATCGAAGTTTTATCTACCCACGCTGTTAATTGCTACTGGGGAATAAAAGTAGTGAGGTATTTTTCTTTAGTGACGGAAACTTCTGTAATTAATCTTCCCGCTAATCATCACTAATTAACTGGTTAATATAATACTTTGCGAGGCGATTACCACTATACAAGTCAGTCTAAAAACGTATATCTTAATAAATGTCAAAGTAATAGCATGCGATGTATATAATTACTTATTTTTGAGTAACGAATTTCCAAATTTACGGCGTTCCAACTGTAATTACTGGTTCAAATAATGGCAGTTGTCTTTGTTACGTATTTCTGAAACGGTTTATCCCGGATGAGAAATCTTACTTTCCTCAGAACCTCCGCACCCTTTCCATGTCATATATTTAGTATCTGCTGATTTCCGCTTCGCATTCTTCATGCTTTTCTTGGTTTTTCCCGCGCGTTCAGTTATCATTGATCTGCGTGATTGTGTATGGGCCACTCCCTTTTTGCCATGTTGGTCTTGCGCACAATTGCATTCGTACCATTCTCTTAAATAATTCAAAAGTACGTATACGTTCAACGGTAGGTAATTTTAAAATATCGTGACTGCAGGCAGCTTACGTAAAAATTGTGAAGAGGAGTTTAAATCGCCAATTTTCGTAAATATTTTACGCGCTTCATTAGAATGTTGTGTAGAATATGAAACGTTTTTAATTAATTATAATTAGATCTCATTGTGTTTGTATTTTCAGAATTTTAGTCGAAAATGAATGTTTTTCCTGATTTTTAATGGGTGCAGTTGGTAGCAGTGTCAGAAAGTAAAGCATTCGTTCATATTTTAGTGGTGGTATACTTGGCATTACTGATTTTTGGAATTCCATTTCCTATTATCGGCTCGAGGCCGTTATCCTGATGCTTTCCTCAGTCACTCGGACTGGTTATTGTGATTTTCCGATTTTTTAAAAGACATTGCTGGGAGATTATTTTACAAATTGGCTTTGATAGCTTCAGTCGCAGTCGATCTAGACACGCTGATGTTTTTTGAGATCCATTCTTCACGAAGACAGCGCAAGACGATTTAGCGCAATTAGTGCATGTGCTTTGGAAACTGGGATTTCGTGGTTCTTGCTTTTTTGTGATAGCCTACATCTTGTTTTCTCAACTGAGGTTTCAGCTACTAGAACAACGTTAGCAGTTTCGTATGGCTGTGAAACCAGTTTTTATTATGATTTTACCGGAGTTTCCTCATGGAATTCTTCGACCTCTGACCTTCGTGAGTGGTCGGGGAATTTGCCGGCTACCGATTCCACACGCCGAACGTTTGGTGAGAATGACAAAGAATTTCAGTGGTTGTTGATCGAGTCCCTATGCCAGAGTTAATTTTCTTCTCTGTGGATGGCAAAGATGCCCTTTGCTGAAGAAAATAGAATTGTCTGACCTTTAGCCATTGTAAATGGCCGGGGGATTCCCCACCAACTTTCGTGAGTAGAATAATTCCCAGCGGTGGATTCCCCACCAACTTTCATGAGCAGAATAATTCCCAGCGGCGGATTCCCCACCACCTTCCGTGAGCAGAATAATTCCCAGCGGTGGATTCCCCACCAACTTCCGTGAGCAGAATTCGAATTGTCTACACATTTCAGTAGTCGCCAATTTCTGTTCAGTCGTTCTCGAGTTACGTGCTTAAAAACGTAAGGACAAAGAAATTTCTATGAATGCTTCTCAGGGATGCGAAAGGACCTGAGGTGTTTGTGTACTGATCAAGGTTCCATTTTTAAACACGCGGGACGCATGCGGCCCTCCTCAGTTCTCGAATTACGGCGATTTGAGCCCAAAATGCATTTCATAGCTGCGTGTTCGTGCTGTACCGATGTTTTGTGTTTCAGTTGCGTGTCTGTGAAAACAGGAGCAAAAACGTATCTTAATGTTTGGCTTGGAATTTGTAAAACAAGGCGGTAATGATTTTACCCACATTTGATCGCTACCGGAACTGTTACCAACTTTTAAATCTCTCCTTAGTAGGCACCGAGTTTGGCATGCCTGATGTAGATGGATTTTAAGGAAATGTTTTGTGAGAACTGGATTGGACGTGGACAGAACTGGCTGAAATCCTATTTGGTAATTAATAACACTGATTACAGACTGTGAAGACCGGGGCTGGATGAAACGAGCTCATTTTAATTAAGATATTGACGTGGAAAGCTTAATACGCGTGTATTTCAAGACTCTAGGAAGAAATTTGATGCACAAAGGCAGCCGAGGTTGGCATGCAATTATAAACCACTGTGAAGATCTTGTAAAGAGGGTTTGAGGCAGTTACCGTATATTAAGTTATCGAGATGTGGGAAGAGACTAAAGGGAAAGCTAGGAAGATTGAGGAAAAGAATGAAATGGCTAATGGACGAGTAGGAGGAGACCAGGAGCATACAGTTGCTCGGGACAAACTCAAACGATTTCAAGTCGTATATTTTTCAACGGGACTTAATTTTAATCTGTGGTGACATACGTAGATAATAAGTGTGTTATGTAATGCATTCCTTTAACACTTAACAATGCACTCGACGAAATGGTCCGTTATCTCTCTGACGCCAGCTGATTACTTCCTGCAACGTAGGCACAAGTGTCTCGTGTTAAGAGAGTGGAAAGTTTTCCAGAACCGTTCTGCGTACCTCGTCTCTGTGTTCATTTATCCGAGACTCAGATTTGCTGCTGCCAAATTAGTCGCACTACAGTCCTAGGATTTTGTTAAAATTCTCCAGATCTTGACAAGATCCGTATCTCATATTATGTAGCAGCTTGGTGAACAAACATTGCCATTTTACTGTCTGTACGTGCCTGTTTCTGGTACTGTTGACTAAAACTATCTGTGGAATAATTGTTTGCACTATTAAGAGTCTTATTTAATCAAAGGTGGCTGACTTCTGGGTACACCCGCTCTGTAGTCCGGTGAAAACCATTGTTCTAGAGGTCACTGCTGTTTCCATTATCAGGGCGATGAGTAAGCCGTGCTCTAGAAATTGGTTTGAGATATAGGAACCAGTCAGAAGAGAGAACTTTCTAGCCAGGTTGTAGTATGTCCCTGGTCTCTTATTGGTCCCTTTGCCATCATATCATCCTCATCTTAATGCACGCTGGTCCGGTTAAGGTTTTGTTCCGACTGACTGCTTCATGCATCCGAAACCGAGTGGAAATGAGGAGATATGTCAGCCAAGGCTAAAGAGTTTGGTGGACGACCAACTGGGCAGTCCAGTGGGCTCCAGTCCGGCTCCATCGGTGGGTGGTAGAGGGAAATTACGGTCTCCATGAAGGCCCCCCTCAGACACCGCAGGGAAGTATAGATCTAACGAGTTCGACTCGTCCGATCCGGGCATTTGGATGGAACTTGCCCCAAGGCGCCCGGAGACGGGTTTGTCCTCTGCCTGGACAGGCAAAGAGAAACCACGCCCAAGGCCTGGCGGTTAAAGCCACCGCTCACACGGGCATACAAGCCGCGGCAAGCGGCCTGCATATCAGCTACGCTGAGGTTCAAGCCCACAGCCTCGGTATCCGCTGGAGCACACGGTGACGTGTTCGGGGTCGCTGAGTTTCGCGCCAAATGTCTACTTCCATCGCCCATGGGAACAAACCCAACCCTCCCCCAGAGGAGCTACGGAATAAAACCCCTATGTACAACTCTGGAGTGAGAAACGCTCAGATTTCTCGAACAGGAGGAACTGGGTTCTGGATGGAACTACGTATCTCAGATGACCTCGTTGTCTGGTCTCAGGCTATGCCGAAATCTACTCCTGTTTCACTTAGCGCAGGAAGACGGACGGAGCTGTAGGTTGCCATGTAAGTCCGCCTGTCCTGAAGTGTCGGTGGTGGATTCACAGCTACCAAGTTCCTGAAAGGCCTACTCACTATTCTCCCTCCCCAGTGTATCTCCGCTCGAGGGTATTGACCATCTTGTGGAGAACCTTCCAACCAAGACCAGGTTAGGGTTGACTCGTCGTACTCTCTGCACTGCATCCTTCCTCAGAACAGGGGATGTTCTTCTCCCCTAGCTGCCTTCCGCCACGACCAAATTCCCGTTCGCGTACTCACACCCCGTTATAGAACCGAGACACTTTGTCGTACGCAGTGTTAACCTAGCAAGGCACGATGTCTTACCTGTTTGGTTGTGGTTTCGGCACGCGGCTTAAAAGTAGCCCTGAAGATGGTGGTAGCAAGATCTTCCGAAACTGGTAAACATCTACCAGACTAAGGTGCAACGCAACGTATACTCATCGTCGTGAGAACCTCAAATCATTATGTCATTAACTTTATACACGCGATCTGGCAGACACGAAACGCCTTCATATTCTGGCTTCATAATGCAATGAAAAACGGATTTGTCGTTTTAAACCGAATTCTGTAGGGTCATTTCGGCACGCGATGTTTTACACGGGGGGTGTGAAACTTTTTCAAAGTGTGTAAATAAATGTCATTGTTTCTGTTGTTGCAGTGAAGACAAAATGGTGGACGCAGCAGTGCTGGAGAAGTTGGAGGCTGGCTACACCAAGTTGGCCGCCTCTGACAGCAAGTCTCTGCTGAAGAAGTTTCTAACAAAGGAAGTGTTCGACAACCTGAAGACCAAGAAGACCCCTTCCTTTGGCTCTACACTTCTTGATGTAATCCAGTCTGGTAAGATGAAGTTAATGAATATGTCTTCGGATGAAACATGCACGTGATAAGATTATTACGTCTTTTTATCCAGCGTTGCTAAGAAAACGTAGCCGAGTTCAAATATTTGGAAGTGACAATAAATCGAAATTTCTGCCCTGAAAACGTGAGTAAAAACATTAAAAATTAATGTTTTTAATAACCCGTAATGACTTGACGCGATGAAGATTAAAAATTTAATACAAAGCAGAATTTTGAACCTAAAACGTGATTAAATTTGTGGATTTCTTCATTCTATGCAGTTTAATTTTTTTTTTGTATTCTCTGCGGTCGTAAAGATTAAAATATTCTAAACTGTTATGACGTCATTTGTTTTATATAGGCTTGAAAGTTGATCCTTCACATTAAGGCTAAAACACTGATTGAGGTTGATAACAGGGCGAAGTGACGGGAGAAAGTTGATAACGAATACCATATTTTGTAATTTGAATACTCCGGTCTGGCGCGGCCAGAAAACAAACTGGAGGAATGTAAAAGAAATATTTTACTGTAGAGAGTGACACAGCAGCAACATATTGCAGTCGTAGGAAAGATTTTTATTATACCTTAATACCTTAATTTCCGATAAATCTGCTGAATTTTGTCACCTCAGTCTGTTTCTACGATGTCATTTATCGGCGTAATGGCTGACATGAGCTCCTGACCCTCGAATTCATCTTCAAATTAAGAGAGAGCAAGGTTTCTGTTCGTTTAATTCAACAAATAAAATATATATTGTTTTAATCTTGTCCGTCTAATCACAATAAATTCTTATTAAATATTAAAATATTACAATAATTAACATTTAAAATATTTAAAATATTAAATAATGTTCTTTATCGAAATATTCGATTTACATTAGACCATCATAATCGAATATTTCGATAAAGAACATCATTTAATATTTTAAATATTTTAAATGTTAATTATTGTAATATTTTAATATTTAATAAGAATTTATTGTGATTAGACGGACAAGATTTAAACAATATATATTATTATATCACAATATGACGCAACTTTACTATCTCACAAATAAAATGTTTCCTCCAAATTGTTTCTTTCCGTACAACTGGACAGGAACTCAGTTTTGATCGAATTGACATGTCGAGTATCTTCTGGTTGAGTTGTGGATTGGAAGTGGAGTTGAAGTTGACCTGCGGTTTGCAGTTTGCCTTGGCCGGCCGAGTGGCTTTGGTCCGGGCGAGGTATAGATCAATATCACCCGCAAGATGCCGTCTTGCTTGCATTCCGCTCCAGTTACTTGGTCTTCTCAGTCCTCGGTGTGAGTCGAAGATCGCATCAAATGCTCTTCGAATGGGCGTATCTTGCGTGGCCCTACCCACTCGGATTAAGGATGTAGTTTAATTCTGTCGAATCGACTTCAATTTCTACTTTTAAATTTGAAATTATTTGTGCCCGCCTTTAACAACTGATTCTTAACCTGGCCAGTGGATGGAGGGGAGTGGTCCATTTTTCTATACGCCCAGTTGACCGGTTGCTGTAGGGACATGTCCCGATACGTGGTACCTGGAATCGAACCCGGCTATTCAGCCAGTGGTCAGACACACTTCTGAATGAGATAGCCCTGTCGATAATTTAAATACTCGCTTCATGAGTCTTTCGTAATGCAAGTCTTGCTGATGTGCTGGCTGATAATGTATTAGAGCGTATAAATTTTTAGAACCGAAGATCTCGCACCTTCCAACTTCGTGTTCTCGGCCAGGACGGTTTGTGCACCAATTCACACTTCACGATAATCTAGCCGCAAAATTCTCAATTGAGAAAGCGTCTTTGAAGTAAGAAATATCTATATTTTAAGATAAACCGTATCATACCTAAGTCTCTAACAATTTTATTTCCATCTGATTGGTGGATTTATTGATAGATAGTTTATTTTATCAACTGGTATTGGTCTCATACCGTAGATTCTTGGGTGATCTTTGGATGGCGTATTGTGAAGTGGCCTGTTTTAAGATTCTGTAGCAGTATTTGCCGGTACAAGTCATGCAGTCGATTCCATAGTCAGCTACATTTCCAGTTAGCGAAATCACTTTGAGATTCCTAGAATTGTGACGTCACCCACATAAGTTTTGTTTTGTAGAATGCAATGCATGTAGAATAGATAAGTGGAAGTTTACTCCCTGCTGCAAAGGTACGTTATCTTATCAGGCCACCGATAATCGGAGGGAAA